ACAGTATCAGATGTCGAGAGGGATGTAAGGATAGGAATGGAGAGGGCTCGCAGCCGATCTGTGTGACAGGATCACAGAGACAGCCAGGTCAGTTATCCAAAAACTTTTGAGGGTGTGAAAATAGTCCAGTGAATAATCCAAAAGGTTGAATCCGAGAAAAACATATCCAGAAAGCAAAAGGCAACAACAGCAGACAAACAGGTACCAGCGTGAAGCGGCAGCACAAGTGCGCCTAGCGTTCTCACACCGGAAGTCAGAAGACTGAAGGACATAAGAGGAGGCCTCTGGGAAGGGTATGCACAGTCTACCTATATATGGGAACTTCAGGGCCCTAATTTTACCATCCTATAAAAACCCTACCTAACACACCCCTTAATACTTTCTAACAGGGAACCGTGGTCTACTGTTCAACCTTACTAAACTCTCGTAACGGGATAAATGGCCTAAACGGCATTCACAAAATTGGAGGACTATCATAATAAGAGCTTGAAAGAGCGCACTTACTACAAAACCCAATGACAGACCTATGGACTGGTTCCAAATTGAATTGAAATTGCAGCCGAGCGCACCTTCGCCTCTCTGAACTTTCCCACCACCGCCTCGACGGAGGTGCCAAAAAGTTCAGAAGGCGACACTAGTGCAATGAGAAGAAAGGCTTTCTCTTTCTCTCCAATTTCAGAAAAGTTCAACCACCGATGTTTGTCCCTGGCAACCATCGAGTTTGTCCGATCGTGGTGGCTGTTTATTTGGTGGCACGGAGAGCTAATCTGTAGTGCGGCGCAGCTCATTTTCACTGCGTCAGGGGAAAGACCCTGACTTTGTTTCAAATCTGTCAGCAGATCAGCCTGGTATTCTTGCAACACCGCCATTGTGTGCAAGGCATCACCAGCCAGACCTGCCGCCGCGTATGCCCTGCCATTTAAGCACAACGTCATATTTAAGTGGCTTAAGGCGAGACACTACAGGTGAATAGGGTAAAAATGTTAACTTACAGATATCTACATGAAACCTTACAAGTTGATTACTCACATGAATAGGAGAGAAAAAATATATATTAAAAGTTTTCTGTAATTTTATGTTTAAATATGATAATCAGGCTATATCTTATTAAATATGCGCTAATTTGCATATATTTTGAAGTGACGAATCGGACCATTTGAAAAAAACAAGGTTCAAAATTATTTTTGCATTTTGTTGATATATTCAATGAAAAGACATTACCAGTGGGGATTATGAATATCTCCTTTTGTTATCCTGTAAATCAGAAAATACTGCCAATAGCCGTAAAAAATTGATTTCCGCCCTATTTTTAGGCATAAAATGTCATATAAATCAGGCCAAGAATGATATATCAACAAATCCCTTTGGACAAACCTTCACAATATAGTTAGGAATACGACTGTAAAGTTTGGTGTATGTAGGTGCTACAGAAGTGGAAAATCGTCACTAGAAGTGTGAGAAAAAACTCATTTTGAGAAAACGGCCTTTAACCCTCTGGGGTCGGCTATCGCGCCGGCGCGACAAGCTCACTTTTTTCCTTATCAGTGCAAAAGAGACTCAAATTACTCTGTTGATTTTGATCTTACATATAAGTGTTTTACATCATTAGATCCTGTTAAGTGTCTATTTTATTTGTGGATACTCACAATAAAAACAGTGTTCTGCTTTTTGTCAAATAAAGAAAAATAAACATGATGCAAATTTTGCCTTCTCTCTGTCAGTGAAGTTCATTCTGAGTCCGAAAATGAACTGTAACTAAGTAAATATTTGTCACACAGGCAGATTTTTCGTTATGAAGCTGAAATTCTCTATATATATTATGTGTGTGTATTTTTTGTGAATTTTAAATAGCAATTTTAACCAGAAAAATCACAATTAGATTTTCTTTAGCAAATCGGGCAGCCTTAGTTGCTCCTGATATCAGCATGTTTACGGCAATTATTCCTCATAGTAACACAGCTTGTTGAGGTGTGAACTTAATATTTATCTTTGTAAAGAAAATGTTTTTCAACCTCTGCCCATGACTTTTATAAATAAAACAGCTTCACTACTGAAAGCTACATTATATTTCTCAGCAATCAGGTGATAACTTTTCTGTAGTTAAACCATAAAGCTTCCCTATTAGGTTACTCACTCGCGCTCTCTCTCTCTCTCTCTCTGGTTAATTCATTTGAATTCATAAAAAAAAAACTACTTTATTTCACTTCAGAATTCTAGATCTAAACTGTAGATAAACAAAAATTATTTCAGGACTATATATATATCTGTTTTGTCAGATTTTGCGCAGCAAAACATTCATGAGTCATGACAGCTGTTATCTTTGTCCATGCTGGAAACGAATCATGAACACCCGACATGAATTATATAAATAATTTTAATAGCACGGCCATTTAAATCCAGAGTCTACCATGTACATAGTAAAACGATCACCAAAAATAATTTTGGGCGGGAATTATTGTAAACACAGATATCGGATACCAGTCCTGTCTAAAGTGAGTGTAAACAGGCGGCTAAAAAATCGGATATGGTCAAAAGATTGGATCTGTGCATTAAGACTTAAGAGCAGTGTAAATGCAGCCTTAAACTGTGTAAGTCAATGAAAAAGTACAGCTCTGATAAATCATTAGCGCAAACACTGCATGTCATGCAAACACAAGTTACTGACAGCTAACAGCTTGTTCCGCTGTAACATAGTCAATACTATAAATATTGGATAAGATATTCAACCAAGTGTTTTGAGTCCTATTAAATATTCCACACTTATCAAAATGACTGTGATGCATGTAGAAACTGTGTACCAGGTCACTTTGTGTTTTCTCTGATCGGACAGCTATCCAACCGTGAAAATATCAAAAGAGAGGGCATTTTTCACATTCCAGATTGAACTGAACAAAATGCATCTGATTGTTGAAGCCACATATATAAATTTTACTCCTTCCAAAATGGTTAAAAAAAATCCACATGCGAGATTGTGTTATAACGGCTCCCGGTTTACAGATACACGCATCGCCACAGATATGGCTAAGCACCTCTTGAGGAATTCATTAAAAGTTCAGCATCTCCATTCAAAGTAGTGACACTAAATGGTCTTACCAGTGCTGATGCCGCTCTTTCTCCAATTGCAGTCTTTGATCTTGAAATTGGCTGATGATAAATAAATTAATCTTGCTTTCTATGACGTGAACTCTGTTAAATTTGCATATAGCATGGGAATTGAAGATTAGATTTATATTTGTTCTGCGGAGACACAGTTATGTGGCCTAGTGTAAATAGAACAAAATGGATAGCTATCTGATCAATACAAAATTATATTATTCCATAATTATATTCTATCCATTATAACATCTATAAGACAGGCTAGGGACAGCTAGACAGACCTTCTTCTAAAATATTATAAACAGCAACTTAAACAAATGCAGTCTTTTTGCTACTGTAGAGAGACAAAAAAAACTGCAATGAGTTTGCGTCATTTTTTCTGAGAAGATCATTAAAGGGTTAGTTGACCCAAAAATGAAAATTTTAACCACCACATCGAGACCCATCTGCGTCATCTTCTCAGTTCTCGCGCATGCGTCGTGTTGCTCTCGTGAACTCACTCAGAGGCCCACAGAAGAAAATGAATAGTTGAATAAAGTTGTTATTATTGAGGGTTTTCTGCGTACAAAAAGTATTCTCGTCGCTTGACAAACTTAAGGTTGAGCCACTGTAGTCACTTGGACTATTTTAATGATGTCTTTAATAACTTTCCTGGGCTGGCAGATGCCATTACCTAGCAGCCAATGGAGGAGTGAGACAGATCTCATCAAAAATATCTTAATTTGTGTTCCGAAGATGAACGAAAGTCTTACGGGGTTGGAACAACATGAGGGTGAGTAACTACTGACAGAATTTTAATTTTTGGGTCAGAGATTAAAACTCGCTTTAAAATGCTGAATGTGCTTTTCGTGTGCTTCATCTTCATCATTACTTCAACTGCTTTTACAAAAAAAAGTAGGCCATATGTCTTTATTTTTTATTTATCTCACATCATGTTGTTATAATACGTATTTGCTTGTCCATCGGGATCAGGAAAACGCGGATTCGAACTAGGGTCAGTCACGTCAAAGACTGAAACAACTGCAACCTGTTCTTACTCGCTGATGCCACTCCTGATAAACACATGGCATTCTTTTGTCAAATTTTTTTGTTCTAGGCTATTAGTGTAAATGGCCTTTGCCAGCAAGATGGGATATTTGCACTTAGTTTATGTTAAATTAAGCTGAATGTGCATTTAATTATGGGCTCTTCAGTTTGTCTGACTTGCATGACCGCTATCTTTTTCATGTTCTATAGAGGAGAAAATGCTTAATGTAAAATATTATTTGTCTCCTTAAATTATGGTGTCATTGGTTTGTTAGTGAATTGGGCATAAGACAAAAAATTTTTGGTTTCTGGTCGTTGTTTTTTTACCGCTCTACAACATGTGTTTTAGATGAACATATACTGTAACAGAGCATATAATACAACTCAGTGCTATACAGTAGTAATGAGAGATAATTTATCCATGATCAAACTAGCATGTTGAACATGTCATAATATTGTGAATAACAGAATCATGAATATTTTATAGGCATGAGCGCAGAATAATACTTGAACAATAAAATTGAATATGCTCTGTCTCGCCCATGTGCATTGTGCTCTGCCACCTCAGTACGTGGCATGACTGCCCTCTACTGCCCATGTATTTCCTGTGCCAGAGCATCCCACCTGACCAAGCGTGACCCCTTTTTCTTTTGGAAGCGCATTCTCAAAGGCCACATCTGTAGTTGATTGAACACACAGCCATGCTCCAAAATCTAGCGGAAAGCCGTCCCAGAAGAGTGGAGCTTTGTTATAACAGAAAAGGGGAAATAAATCTGGAATGGGACGTTCAACAAGCACATATGGGTGTGATGGTCAGGGGCGCACATACTTTTGGCTGTATAGTGTAGTGCAGAACTGATCTACTTGCAGAAACTTACCATAGTTGGGACAGTAATGAGTGCCGCCCTCAGAGGTGCAGTGCATCTGAATCTGGGAACGGTCATAGGTTTCCCTTAAGATGAAGGAAGCGTCACCTTTATGGGTGTTAAACTCGTACTTAAAACTGTTCCACGTGTGATGATCATATCTGACGTAGATGTAGCGGTGGATTAACCTTTTCTCCTCATAGGAAGTTCTGCAGCCAGCACCAACACGTGTAAACTGGGGAGCAGAATTATACATCAGTTTTCATCAGAAAAGCAATCATTAAAATGACATGCAAAGAACAGTATTACAGTGTTGTGAGATATTATTTCATGCTCTCAGTTATTATCTGGTTAATCAGAGGACATGCTAAATATGGAAAAAAATAACTAAGAAACAGAATTTAGAATACATAATTGTATAAATAATCTGGTGTAGTGAATGCAAAAGTTCTTACCCCTCTGTCCTGGGTGGCAAAGTGCCAGGTATAAGGAGTCTCGTTGACGACTGTAACCTGGGCCCCCATTATTCAGGATATTCTGTTACAGTAAAACAGTAAACATTGGTCAGTATTTAACAGTTATCCAAGGTAAGATGCAAAACAACAACAATTGGATTTGCATTAATTATAGCTAAATTTATTAAAGTAAAAAAAAAAAAAAACACAAAATACAACCTGATTTCATTCCTGTGCAGAGAAGTCGGTGTCTGTGAGAAAAGTGAAGCGGCTCATGCAGTCTGATGCTCTTTATAAACCATCCATCAGAGTGAGAGGACAGAAGGGGCTGAGCTTAGGACTTCTTAAAGGGTTAGTTCACCCCAAAATGAAAATTATGTCAGTAATTACTCAAGACTTTCGTTCATCTTCAGAACACAAATTAAGATATTTTTGATTAAATCTGAGAGCTGTCTCACTCCTCCATAGGCTTCTTAAGGGATCGAAACTTGCCGGCCCAGAAAAGTTTTTAAAGACATCGTTAAAATAGTCCAAGTGACTACAGTGGCTCAATCTTAAGTTTATTAAAGGGTCACTTCACCCATTTCAACATTAATCTTTATTGAAAGTGGGTTATATATGTAGTCGAAATGTAAAAGAAATTTTGAATTTGGTGCCCTAAAACAACTTTTGGGCGCATTTGTATGTAAGACAACAACTCCCAGAATGCACCACGTTGCACAGCTCCGCAAGCCACTCCCACTAATCCAGAACAGCACAAACATCAGAGAAATCACTCTTCCGTCTACAAGGCTAGCTGCCAAATAAGTTTGAAATTCATTTCACATAAAATGTCTAGTTAGTTGGCTGTGGCGAGCAGGACGAGGGCGAGGGACGTGAGAGGACGACGCGAGTGATAATGAATGACACCTGTGCAGCGGTCTCATATCTCTCACGGAGGAGCGGAAGCACAAAAGGAACAGGCCTGATTTTATGTTTTGTTTCTGTTGTGTGTGGCCAGCTGGCTTATACTTTTGTTTTGTATTTGTTTATTTTACTATTAAAATGTTTAAATGTTCGCCGGTTCCCGCCTCCTTCTTCCCACAACAACGAACCACGTTACATTGGCAAACTCATTAGCGAATTACTCCTCGTTTGTATTTTTTTCTATATGGTGAATTATTGCATGATACCTGGATGTTCAGTCAGAAGAACATATGCGGTGCGAAACTAGGATGGTTCACATCACAACACAACGTCCGTGTGCTCGTCTGATTCAGAGATTTCGTCCAGGAGAAATTGCGATCGTTGAAATTCTCTGCAGCAGACGGAGTCTATCTGTGTCCGTAGCGCACAGCGAGAGCACTGGCACCAGCAGTCCGCCCAGCTCGAGCCAGTCCGGGCTCCTCGTCCGCCTCCTGTTCCTCCATCAGCCTCAGCTGCTCTTCACTATATTGCGGCTCGTAAAGATAGCCACGAACAGCGGATTCGAGCAGCAGAATTTCAAAATCCTCTACTTCCATATCATGTTTAGTTTCTTCCATATCATGTTTAGTTTCTTCCGTCATTGTCGTAACTTCCTATCTCCACAGCGCTTGTTAGCTTAGCTTATAAACAAGATGCCGCCCACGGGCCTCGCCACTCTCGTCCTCCTCTGACCCCCTCTGAGTTCTCGGATGACAGTGTGTGTTGTCCCCGGACCGTACTACTCTCATCCCCCTCAGTCGCCAGAACGCTGGGAGAGCAGGCCCCCGCGGAACACTGGTCCTTCCCTGGCCTCCTCTGTCAGGGGGCGGTTTATGACCGTACCCCCACACCGGGCCGTTATGCCGTCCACGTCCGGGCCAGTCATTCCGCTTCGCTGCACCACCGAGGGGACGTCTGTGGTTTGCGTGACCCCGCTGGAACAGTCCTTGGGAGCCTGGCTAGAGCTTCCCAACCTGTCTCGCTGGGTCACACAAACTATCAGGCTCGGCTATGCGATTCAGTTCGCACGGTCTCCTCCCTGCTTCAGGGGAGTCCGCTCCACTATGGTCGATGGCAATGCCCCTATCATGAGAGCAGAGGTTGCTACCCTACTAGCGAAGGGTGTGATCGAGACTGTCCCTCCAGCCGAAATGAGGTCCGGGTTCTACAGCCCCTACTTCATTGTTCCGAAGAAATCCGGTGGGTTACGGCCAATCCTGGACCTGCGCATCCTGAACCGCTTCCTTCACAGGCTGCCGTTCAAAATGCTCACGGCCAAAAGCATCTTCAAGTGTGTGCGGCCCCAGGATTGGTTTGCAGCGATCGACCTGAAGGACGCCTACTTCCATGTCTCCATTCTCCCTCGACACAGACCGTTCCTGCGGTTTGCTTTCGAGGGGCAGGCATACCAGTACGTGGTTCTCCCTTTCGGGCAAGCCTATGGGGCATATGGCATCTGCAGCCTCGGCAAAGCTCTGGCTTTGCGACTGAGTCCTGAGGTGGGCATGGCAACACGGCACGCTCCGAGTACCAGTCACTCCGACCTGCCGTCAGATCTTCACCCCGTGGTTGAACCTCAGCTTTCTACGGGCTGGAGTGCCCTTAGAACGAGTTTCCAGGCATGTTGTCTCATCAGATGGGCCTCCACCACGGGCTGGGGTGCCATGTGCAATGGACATGCTGCCGCGGGCTCTTGGACAGGACCCCAGCGCCAATGGCATGTCAATTGCCTCGAGTTGCTGGCAGTACGTCTTGCTCTGCACCGCTTTCGGGCACTGCTCAAGGGTCAACACGTACTAGTCTGATCAGACAATACCGCCACAGTAGTGTACATCAACCATCAGGGTGGTCTACGCTCTCGCCGTATGTCGCAACTCACCCACCAACTCCTCTTTTGGAGTCAGAAGCATCTGAGGTCGCTTCGAGCCATTTACATTCCCGGAGCCCTGAACTGTGCAGCCGACGAGCTCTCACGGCTTCAGCCCCTCCCTGGAACATAGCGACTCCATCCCCAGTCGGTTCACCTGATTTGGGACCAGTTCGGGGATGCTCAGGTAGATCTGTCTGCCTCCCACGACTCGACCCATTGCGCCCTGTTTTACTCCCTTACCAAGGGCACGCTCGGCATGGACGCACTGGCGCCAGCTGGCCGTGGGGCCTCCACAAATGTGTTTCCCCCCGTGAGCCTTCTTGCACAGACCCTGTGCAAGAAGGCTCACGACACTGTGCAAGATCAGGGAGGACGAGGAGCGGGTCGTTCTGGTCTCGCCTCACTCGTCCCGAACTTTGGAACCTCCACGTGTGGCTCCTGGACGGGAGACATGTCTATGCGTTGAAGTGGAACCTCTTTGTCAACTGGTGCTCTTCTCACCGAGAAGACCCCCGGAGATGCCCGATCAGTGTCGTGCTTTCCTTCCTGCAAGATAGGTTGGAGTGAAGGCTGTCTCCCTCCACCCTGAAAGTGTATGTCCCCGCTATTGCCGCACATCATGACGCTGTTGAAGGTAAGTCCGTGGGAAAGCACGACCTGATCATCAGGTTCCTGAGAGAAGCGAGGAGACTGAAAGAGGGTAGGTGACCTGCACGCATTCTCCGTTGACGAAGCGTGCCTGGAGTTCGGGCCGGCCTACTCTCACGTGATCCTGAGACCCCGGCCTCAATATGTGCCCAAGGTTCCCACCACTCCCTTTCGGGACCAGGTGGAGAACCTGCAAGCACTGCCCCTGGAGGAGGGAGACCCAGCCTTGGCACTGCGCTCTCCACGCCTATGTAGACAACGCAGTGTTTCAGGACCTCAGACCAGCTCTTTGTCTGTTATGGTGGGAAGCTGAAGGGAAAGGCTCTCTCCAAGCAAAGTTTGTCTCACTGGATAGTGGACGCCATTGCTTTGGCTTACCAGCAGCAAGGTCGACCATGCCCCCTTGGTTGTGACAGCCCACTCTACCCGGAGTGTGGCTTCCTCTTGGGCTCTAGCGCATGGTGCCTCGCTAACAGACATCTGCAGAGCTGCAGGCTGGGCGACACCCAACACATTCGCCAGATTCTACAATCTCCGAGTGGAACCTGTGTCCTCTCGTGTACTCGCTTCAACCAGCCAGTACTAGGACCTGCTCAGGTGTCTTCGCTTACTCGCCATTCCACTCCACGGACTGGATACCTGTGATATTTCCTCAGGTGAGCTTCCCCAACAAGCCCTGAGTTCCTCCAGCACTGCTGACGTTGACGCCAGTGTCTATTGCCTGCGCATTGGCTAGGTGCCTCCGTGTGCATGGTCCCCCCTCTGGGCGACCCCAACATGTGTATTTCCACTGTAAGCCTCTCTGAGCATGTGTCTTTCCCTTGGCAAGCCACCTTGCCACCCCTGGCGTTGAAATATTCCACCTTCAGCTGGACACCCCAGTGTTCCCCATATGCACCCCCCTTCCGGGTCATATGTGTATTCTGTAAGTCCTCCCTTTGGGCAGGCACTGATTGTATATTTCCACTGAGATATGCTTTGTGTACCTTGGTATTCCTGTGTTAAGTAGGAGTCATTTGTCCGTGCTAGTCTCACGACAGGGAGCTCAGACTTACGCAGGGTACTGGAAGACAGCTGTAAAGGTGGCGTGATTGGACTGAAACCCCATTCGTCGTCACGACGGAACTCGTAGAGACAATGAAAGGGAACGTCTCGGTTACGTATGTTCCGTCTTCCTGCCACTTCTGCTGTATCGCGGGGACCGCCTGAGTTCAGTCTCGGCTCCTCAGCGAAGAAACATACCTGCATATTGCCGGCGTCCTCCTTTTATACCCACGAGGTGGGGCGGAGTTGCGCCATGCAAATTCCGCAGACCCATGGCATTTCTTTGCCATTGGCTCATTTTGTATACTCGAAGTCGATAGGCTTTCTTAGCGAAACCCCATTCGTCATCACGATGGAATGTCTTCGTTCCCTACTCAGGAAACGAGGTTTACATACGTAACCGAGGCGATTCTGTTGCTGTTCTTTTGAACTTAGCAAATCATCATATTATAATGATTTCTGAAGGATCATGTGACACTGAAGATTCAGCTTTGCATCACAATAATAAGTTAAATTTGAAAATACATTAAAAAAAACAGTTATTTTAAATTGTAATAATATTTCAATAAATTACTGTTTGTATTGTATTTTTAATCTAATAAATACAGCCTTGGTTACCATAAGAGACTCAAAAGAAAATAAACCGTACAGATCCCAAAGTTTTAAATGGAAGTGTTTAATTTAACGCATTAATGCATGCAGCATCTGTTTTTTAAATGTTACAGTTATTGAACCATTCAAGTGTGATAATATGTAAAAAAAGAACTGTACTTTACTGGAGCGCTGTGAACAAATACCTGAAACGGGTGCACAGAATACCGC